AATAGTATAAGATATATAACTTGATAACTACATTATATGAGTATATTCACATACATACATATGGATGGTAGAAAAAATTACATTGGACAAACGAGATTTATTGAAGGGTGGTGTGTGTGTGTGTGTGTGTGTGTGTGTGTGTGTGTGTGTGTGTGTGTGTGTGTGTGTGTGTGTGTGTGTGTGTGTGTGTGTGTGTGCGTGTGCGTGTGCGTGTGTGTGTGCGTGTGCGTGTGCTTGTGTGCTCTAACAATATATATACTGGAATATATAGACAGATAGATAGACATGTATTTATTCACATATGGCTATATTTTCGTAAGGTCACCCCAGACTAGATCAATTATGTTTTCTACCAATCTGCTTTGTTTTGTTTTGTTTCCTAATTTTTACTTCTTCACATTATCCGTACATATTTCTCACATTTTTTGGCGAACTGACATGTCCATCAAAATCATTACTTCTATGGTCTTTCTTTCTTTTTTTCTTTCATCTTTTTTATCTTAACTATTCCTTAAAGTCTTACGAAGCTCTCTCTAGACCACCAAACTTGCAGTATATTCAGAGATACTGACCGACCTTGCTAAGTTCTGTATTCCTTTGACCATGATAACAAAACTGGCAGCATAAGATCAGCATTCTGCCTGGCAGTTTCTCTGTCTTTGTAAAACAAATCTATAGACGGTACATTTATTTGTATAGAAGTCAGTACACTTTTTGTATATTAGAGAAATTGGTTAATATTTATTGCAGATTAATGTCATTAGCACACGTACCTAATTCCACTTGCGTATATATACGCAAATGTCAATGTGCATTTACGGGCACATATACTCTTATATGTACAAACACATATGCGAATGCACATGGTCTCTCTCTCTCTCTCTCTCACTCAGTCACTCACTCACTCACTCACTCACTCTTAACACTCACCCACTCATTGCTCATTCATTCACTATGCTGCAGACTTTCATCCTTGTGAGGGGGAACTGGGGCATTAAATAAGCATTGGACAGTAGCTTCATGTGAAAGTATTTGCCGCATTTCCGAGGCAGACTGATTTCCTTGACTGAGAGCTTTGCAGATTAATTATGCTTTGCAATTGTCAAGAGTGATCAAGAGTGACTCTCAGAATTATGTGAGACATCAGTTGAGAAATGGAAATAATGGGGAGAAACGTTTAATTTGCAATCCTTTTTTTGTTTTATTTTCTAAATTCTTTAAATATTACACCATGAAAAAGGATCAAAACTCCTTTTAAGTGACTCAGCAACAAGAATTTTTGAAACAGGAAAGAGAACCTAATTGTACATGATTGTGATATTAGCATAATAGGATCCTACAAACCACAAGTGCAATGCAAAATATAAGAACACAAGAAAACAAAATACTTCCCTATGGTACACCAGGGAATCATAGCGGAGTCAGATATGATTAGAAAAAAGTTGTTTAAAGATATCGAAAAAAAAACATTAACATCGACCTCAAAAATATGAAAACTTAAACATGATAAACCCCGTATTTACGTTGCAGAGTAAAATGGAATGAGGTAGCCACGACTTTCTGATTACCATATTAAAACTGAATTTCGTGAACCGAAGTAAGAACGTTATAAGTGCCAAAACCTACAAAGAAATGAAGATGAGAAAGCGAATGAGAGCAATAGTAAAGATAAAGAAAATACAAGAAAGATGACAATGATAATAATAATGGTAATAACAACAACAACAATAATAATGTTGAAAATGATAATGATAAAGAAAAACAAGAATAATACTGATATTCATGATAATAATAACAAAAATAATACTTCTCTTAAGAAGAACAACACTAATAATGATAATGATGAAAATAATAAAATGAAAAAACATATTTAAAGGGAAAAAAAATCAAAGGAAAATGTGAACCACCCAAGGGGCTTTTTTTTTTTTTTTTTTTTATCTAAATTTGGTTCAAGGAAATAAGTAGAAGGAAGCCTGACGTATGCTTATATGTTTACCTGAAAAGACCCCGGGTAAACAGTGAGCTTGTTGGACTGGTTCAAAGAGAATAGAGCAATCATTATCCATTAGAGGAGGCATAGCTGACGCAGTCCCGAATAAAGAAGAATGGAAAGTAAAAATAGTATGAGATATATAACTTGATAACTACATTATATGAGTATATTCACATACATACATATGGATGGTAGAAAAAAATACATTGGACAAACGAGATTTATTGAAGGGTGTGTGTGTGTGTGTGTGTGTGTGTGTGTGTGTGTGTGTGTGTGTGTGTGTGTGTGTGTGTGTGTGTGTGTGTGTGTGTGTGTGTGTGTGTGTGCTCTAACAATATATATACATGAATGTATAGACAGATAGATAGGCATGTATTTATTCACATATGGCTATATTAACGTAAGATCACCCCAGACTAGATCAATTATATTTTCTACCATTCTACTTTGTTTTGTTTTGTTTCCTAATTTTTACTTCTTCACATTATCCGTACATATTTCTCACAT